CGATGAGACGTTAAATTTAACTCACACACTCACTCACTCAAAGACCTGATCGATAGTGAACAATATTGTCAACATTTGAGTAGCTCAATACGTATCACAATACGTTTTGAAAGTTTTACTGTGGCCATGCGCTCTTTGAAATCTTGGCATCGAGATAATACTGGATTGTGCCACAATAGTTGAGAAATGTAAACACCAAATTCTAGAGCTGCTGGAATATTGCTTGAAATGAAGGGGAAGTTAACTATCGGAAAGTTGAAATTAACCCTTTTGTCACACAGCCTTGTATGCTTAGTCAATCTGAATCTTCATGTATATATCTAAATATGAAACGCACGAGACAGTATCACTTGGCTCCTTTATTTAAAAAATCATTGATACACCAGAAGCCAAAGTTAAACTTCTTTATTACCTTGTTTTGATTTTGCTACGCGAGTATATACGAGAGTCTTATTCATATGCACGAAGTAACAGATCCGCAGGGAGAGGATCACATTTATTGCCTATGCCTACTTTTTGTCTGAATGTATGGAGATGTTATAAATGATGAAGACCAGCTCTACAGGTATTAAATTTCACATGATATTTACATTAATGTTCGAAAAAATGTCTGCGGATAGAAATAATGCTTAGCGCGTATATCAATAATTGACCATGGATGAAAGAATGATGTCTCTCTTTAGTGTTTCATGTAAATATTTGTTTAAGAATCAAATGTTTTGACAGAACTGAACGCGGACATTTTCTGAGATTGCAGAATTTGAAGCAAATCCTTTGACAATCCACATTTTCTCAGTAACATCTGTGAACATAGAGAATGTCTTTCCTTGATTGTATTAAGGTAATGGTTATTGTTTGAGTCATCGATTCTGTGGTACACTCCTGGACCCTGCAATGCATCTCTCTTTGTACGATGTTTTCAAACCAGCAGTAAGAAGTTTAAGTGCCAAACCATAAGTCGACAGCTTCCGATAGTGGTAGTATCAACATATATATGCTTCACATTTGTGTAACCGATCGCGCGAATGTCGAAAATCCTTCCATCTGCAGTATAATGTTGCTTCGTTCTTCGGACAGGAAACATACGTGCTTGCAATTGACGTTTTGAAACATTGTTGTCACACTGAATCTGAGGGTAATTACATCAATATGTCTTATAACGGGATTTGGCGTGTTTACCAATTCACTTTCTGCTTAGGCTGGCAGGTTTACCGTTCCCTGTTCTGTTTATCAAGTTCCGAATGCATAAAATCACCGTATGCCGCGCTAATGTTTTCCTGGCATTCTATTTTCTGTTTATGGTGTATAACGGCAGTTCATTTCTTCATTGATCAAGAATTTGTTTCCAAGTTTACTCTGATTATAACCTTCTGTCCTGATTATAACCTTATGTTGATTGTCCTTGACATGAAAATAACAGGCAGTGTTGACGTCAATACCCGCAAAATGTGACGCAAGAATCTGAATGTTCTATGTCGGAAAGGAGAGATCAGATATCGAATCTGGAATGTAAGTACCATTGGTGAGTGATGCTGCTGAAATTACATACTACTGTCTCATAAGCGGTAACGACATAGTCGACAAGTAATGTACCGTCCTGGATACATGTAAAGCCTTGTTAACCAACCCGTCCATCCAGTAACCTTTAACCAGAGAGTCGATACAAGTATTACCGTGGGAGTTTTCTTGAAGTCGATGACATTCTCAGTCGGGTATAAAATCGATACCTTCATTGTAGTCACACTAACATGCAACTCTGGAACTGGAATCTCCAGATACAAAGAACTCTTCATTTCCTATACAGTTTCTACAATAGAGAGTTGAATCATTCGTCATCGTCGATGGGACTGGAGGGGCAGCCTGGGGGGAAGCCAGCACACTCCTGATACAATAGATAGGTTTGTGGCATGACGAGACGACAACCTGAACAAGATAACATATCCATCTTCACCTTCAATTACCAAGTTTTCTAAAGAAGGCACCTACACCCCGATCCATATTTCATTTGTCTGTGAATCGCGTTACGGTAGTTGCCATACCACATGTATCCATTCTAGAAAGGTTCAGATTATCTCTAAGGAAATAGATGCGATGTCCACAAATTTCTTGATTTAGTTTAGACAGACAGATTGCCCAAATTTAGTATTAATTGGTTCCCTCGAAGCGCAGTCAACTTTGTTCCAGAATCTTTTCCGCAAACCATCCATTCCCCTTGACAACCACCATAAGTATGGTGTTAAGTGTTACCATGGAAACGAAAGAACTTGATTTTCCATCTTCCTACAGGATTGTCTGTATGTTGGACCATGCAATCAGCTCATTTGGAGAGCTGTAAACGTCGAATACTCTGTATTGTTTTCGATGTGTTAATTCTGTTCACAACTCTCTAAAGGGTTAAGTGCCACAGCAGGCTTGTTGCTATTTCGTGATTTCCGTGTAGGCAGTTACAGGTAATATTTGGATCACAACCTTCACGTTACATTTGGCTAATGAGAGTTTTCGCATGACCATATGACACTGTTCATCGTCCTCACAAATATCTCTGAAGACCTCAGATAACTGCAATTCAAGGTCACAATGTTGGTCAACGTTCCTACAGATATATCTCATTTTTCAAGTTCAATATGCATAACTGTTTCGTCTGTGTGATTGTGTGTGGGTATTTAACTTCTAATTGAGGCCTGTTCGTAGTTGGAAGTGTGAAGTGACCACTGCTTCTGTGAGTGTTTTCATATGCCTTGTCTCTGTGACATTCAACTGGCTTGAGATGTCTGCCCCTTTTCCAGTCACAACATTGTCACCGTTGTGCGTAACATTTCTGGGTAGAAAACTGTCTTGATCATCGGCAGCATTTCAGCCATATCGTGACTAAAACTATTTATGACGAATAATAATGTCTATGGTGAATACGTGATAAATATAGTTACATTTTTATAAACCTGTCGACGATATTAAAAATGGGCCATAGATCACCAGCAACTGAAGGTAGATCACCATACTAGGGACCACGGGGACTTACAGTACTTTTGCTACCTGCATGGACCCAAGCTGGATTTTCATCATCCCTTCAGCCGTTGGGGATTGTAGTTAATTCTAGACATAACTTAAAAAGACAAAGATACTACGTTTAAATATTTGGTAAGCTAAATTTTGGGACTTACGTACCCCAACAGGATGACAATAATTTTACAACACTTCAACCCCACAATCTCAGCTGTTCATTTAAACTACCAAAAATAAAATATTTATCTATTACAAACATTTATCAAAATTAATTTAACAGTTCTTTTTCTTTTACAAAGTCAATGATTAAATGAAAATTAGTATCTGTAAAAAGATCCTTAACAGTTTTTATATTGAAATGCTTATCTCTTGTGATGGAAAAATCAACACAGTCAAGCAGGAAATGTACCCCATGGTGTATATATTCTTACTGCTTTACCTCATCATGTTTCTATTGTGTTTTTCTAGGGTGGAGTAGCATAGTGGTTTGTTTACAGGCTGCCGTCGCTTGGCATTAGTACTGCTATGCAGGGCCAGGCAAAACATACTAGTTTTAGGCTTGTTTGTGAATGGAGTGTGCGACCGATAGTGAAGGACAGACTTACACGTTTTGCGACCACCTGGTATCATCACTGATTTTCACTGATCCATTTGTATAAATTTCACAACTATTGTTTCCTTTACACTAAATGGTGGCGTTCTATATTTGAAGCGTTTGTTCGTTACGCCAAAGACACACAAATGATCCGTGTGTGCAAATTGATATAGCCTACCATTACTTGATGTTCAGGCAACAAGCCAGGCATGTTATCATTGACGAAAGTGGTAGATATGGGGCGGTTGGGTAGAATATCCAGCTTCCATTTTGACATGGGTATAATGTAGGTGGTAGTACATTTCTTGTGTACCCCACAGTGTTATTACTGGGATATAGCTAAAAGCGGCTTAAAACCATACTCATTCACAACCTACTGTCTTGCATATTTACACATAACATATCTGCTTCCGGTTTCGCCTTCTCTTCCAAATAGATTTACTAAGCCACTAACCTTTTAGTCAGGTTCATTGAAAGACTGGACAGATACTAATGTGTCATGACAGTTACAGTTATGGTTCAGTTTAAGTTAAAAGAAAATACGTCACTCTGACATAAACGTTGGTGTGTGATGGTGTGAGTTGAACTATGGTTTATATGGAGATTAGATTATGTTTCAGGTTAGACTGGTATATATAAGCGTCTGGGCATAGCTACTTTGGGTCGTCAAGGACATCGGCATCAACCGAGAAACGCAATGAACTTTGCCAAAGAGAAATTAAGCGAACATTGAAGAATCAGCAGTCTTGTCACGAGAGATTGTGATGTGGTAAGGCATCACCTTGCAGTAATTGAAATTGACTAATAGAGCAAGTAACCAACATCACGAAGTCCAGTCCAATTAAAAACCTAAGACGAGCATCTTCAAACATTAGGGACAAAAAATACAAGGATGAAATTAGATCAGTCCTCCAGCTGTTTTTTTGCGTTGTGTTTAGTGAATTCGCGCAAATTAAGCAAGTTAGATTTGCTGACGCCTCAGCGAGCATCATACGACAGTGCCTTCGTTCCAATGAGTGAGTGAGTTTAGTTTACGCTGCTTTTAGCAATATTCCAGCAATACCACGGCGGGGGACACCAGAAATGGGCTTCACACATTGTGCCCATGTGGGGAATCGAACCCGGGACCTCGGCGTGACGAGCGAACGCCTTAACCACAAGGCTACCCTACCGCCCCTGTTCCTATGAAGACAGCATGGCGGTTGCTAGTGAAGACGACAGTCTGATGAAGGATCATAGCAGGAACCCTTATATGACTTCGGGATCTGGAGATAGATTGGTATCAATTTGCATGGTGTCAACCTATATGTACATGGCAACAGTTTACATGACACCAACCAACATGGTACCAGCTCACATGGTACTAATCGACATGGTACAATTTCACCTGGTGCCAACCGACATGGTACCTGCTCAGATGACACCAACCTACATGGTACCTGCTCAGATGACTCCAACCTACATGGTACCAGCTCAGATGACTCCAACCTACATGGTACCAGCTCACATGACTCCAACCTACATGGTACCAGCTTACATGACACCAACCTACATGGTACCAGCTCACATGACACCAACCTACATGGTACCAGCTCAAATGACACCAACCTACATGGTACCAGCGCAGATGACACCAACCAACATGGTACCAGCTCACATGACACCAACCTACATGGTACCTGCTCACATGACAGCTTCCTACATGGTACCTGCTCACATGACTCCAACCTACATGGTACCAGCTCAGATGACACCAACCTACATGGTACCAGCTCAGATGACACCAATATACATGGTACCTGCTCACATGACTCCAACCTACATGGTACCAGCTCAGATGACACCAACCTACATGGTATCAGCTCACATGACACCAATATACATGGTACCATCTCACATGACACCAACCTACATGGTATTTGCTCTCAATATAGGTCATATAATATGATAGATAGGCAGCAGAGTATGCCATTCAGTCAAGGCTTTCATTGATACGGTATCAGTCAATAAGATCGGAAGGTGTAAATCGACTATGGCAACTGGCGCTTGACAGACCAAGGTACTACAAAGTATTGATTTTCTAATTAAACTGGGTTCTGTCCCCATTCAGTCGAAGGAATTTGAGTGTCACACTGTGGCGCATGATTATTTTAAAGCATGTCCTTATGTCTTGTAAGATTAATATTGCTGAAATGAAATGGCTTATTTGAACAAATTTGTGACTTACTTGATGTTAATATGTTTGAAAAATTATGGACCTGTGATGATGATGATGATGATGATGATGATGATGATGATGATGATGATGATGATGATGATGATGAATTTCTAAAATTTCTACTTGGCGGAATACCGGAAGATGTAAAGGACCAGTTAAACTATGATGTGTGGGCAAATGTTATTAATAATATGTGTCTCAAATTCTGTATCCAAATTGAAAAAGATTTTTAATTGTTGTATTTCACCTTACCACCCTGTATAAATTATTTCATGTACATTTCTGTTGTATCATGTACCATTAATATGACTGTATAATATACATTTGTAATCTTCAAACTTTGGAGGAAATAAAGAATATTTATCATGGCACACACCTACATAGTAGCTGTTCATATGACAACAACCTACATGGTACCTGCTCACATGGCACTAATATACATGGTACCAGCTCACATGACCCCAACCTACATGGCACCTGCTCACATGGCACCAAGTTACGTGGTACCGGCATCAACCTATTGAAACGTGAAATTTCACTTCACAGTAACCGAATAAGTTCGCTTATCATGACCCACACCAGGACACTACAGCTCCCTTGCGAATTTTAGTAAAAACATTAGGCCCTTGCATACTGTTCTCCACTAGTTTTGCCATTGGGGCACAGACGGTCCCTGGTGTCCACACATCATTCGCGCCTTCGGAAATCTCTACTGCTGACAGGTTTTGAGCCTACTAAGTGATGTGATGAAACCGGCTTGTCGTTTTGTTAGGTCTGTCACGCCAACGTCTCATTGGTACCCAATCCGTTTGACGGTGCTTGTGCCACAGAAAAAAATCACAATTTGCCAAATTACACAAATTGATTTGCCAAACATTCGGCAAGCAATTATATAGTAACCTCCTCCACTCTATCGTACCTGCAAGTAACAATTTTGTCTTTTGATTTCGTGATGTCTGGGGGACTTAGGGTGACAATTACACTGAGTGATGTCTAGGCGTGTTCTTATCTCTTAACATTTGTGCTTGTGAGTTCCTCTAAATGCGCTCACCTTTGGCTTCTGTGTGCATATGCATATCTTGTTGTTATACATGATGTAAGTCATTTGTGATCAGATCTAACGTTCAGATGCAACGCCACGGCATATGAAATGTACACTTCAGCAACACCTACATTCAGATTACCAGTTCCCTAATTTTTTGTGGGCAGTATACATCTTACCGGTGAATATGACACTACTCCAAGACTCGCCAGTCCCTCTGGAATCGGCCAGTCTTAATAGTATCAGCCTCTAGCCATGTGTCTGTGTGGTAACAACCTTCATGGCTGGTCCCTGAGGTGAGGTATCACTGGGAAATGTGATGGGAATCTTAACTGAACGGTGGTGCCACTCATCCAATTACAAAAATAACATAAAGCTGTTCTTTTTGGTTCATATGGTTTATGTTCATAAAGGTCCTTCCCTGTGCTGAAACGTTAACCTAAAGCCAAAGCAATTAATTCTTCGCAAGCTAAAGACTGTTATATTCCCCATGTCAGAATGGAGACGAGATTACAACTGTTAGACACAATGTGAACTCATTCCCTTTAGGGTTTTATTTGTTCAATTTGAAACTTTTGATTGCATTGCCTGATAAGATTGTTTCTCATTAGAAACTGTTTCTTTAATAGTACAATCGTACAACTGACGTTCGAACGACATCAAGCTGAACATCAAGTGTTTCATTTGCAACTGCGCTTCCTCATGAAACTTTTATCGCAGGGCCATGACTTACAGGCTGATATCGTAGTGAGTTGATATCGATGTATATTTTGTGAATATTGAGGTGACGGGTTATATCATCCGTAATTACAGGTCATGCTCCTGAAGAAACACACTGTTCTGCGTTTTAAAAGAATGGAATATGTGTTCTTCGGATATCTCAGTTTAAATTGTGGCGCATTATTTCTTTTAAAAACAACTCCTTTTTATTACAGTTAAATTTGACACAACTTTGACATTTGTGACACAACCATTCCATTATTGACGAAGTGTCGTAGTGGGATTGGTATGGGTTATATTTCTTAGTCAATATTGTACGAATATTGTATTGCATGTGATATTGTATTGGCATTGTACTGTCTCTGCCACTGTAATGACGTTGTGTCAGTCTCTGCCTTTGTAATGTTTCAGTAATGTCAGTATCTGACATTGTAATGTTTCAGTATCTGACACATAGTACTTTCATTACTTGTATTATACAATCAGACATTATAATGCCTGAGTGTCTGACATAGTACTTGCATTATACAGTCTCTGACATTGTAATGTTTCAGTGTCAGGCATAGTATTTACATTATACAAAATCTGACGTAATGTTTCATGTTTTATTATCCGACATTGTCATGTTTCATAGTAGTACTTGCATTATACAATATCTGACATTGTAATGACATTGTAATGTTTCAGTATCTGACATAGTACTTGCATTATACAATCTCTGACATTGTAATGTTTCAGTATCTGACATAGTATTTGCATTATACAATATCTGACATTGTAATGTTTCAGTATCTGACATAGTACTTACATTATACAATATCTGACATTGTAATGTTTCAGTATCTGACATAGTACTTGCATTATACAATATCTGACATTGTAATGTTTCAGTATCTGACATAGTACTTGCATTATACAATCTCTGACATTGTAATGTTTCAGTATCTGACATAGTACTTGCATTATACAATATCTGACATTGTAATGTTTCAGTATCTGACATAGTACCTGCATTATACAATCTGACATTGTAATGTTTCAGTATCTGACATAGTACTTGCATTATACAATATCTCTGACATAGTATTGTTATATGACATTTCAGTATCTGACATAGTATCTGACATAGTACTTGCATTATACAATATCTGACATTGTAATGTTTCAGTATCTGGCATAGTATTTGCATTATACAATATCTGACATTGTAATGTTTCAGTGTCTGACATAGTACTTGCATTATACAATATCTGACATTGTAATGTTTCAGTATCTGACATAGTACTTGCATTATACAATCTCTGACATTGTAATGTTTCAGTATCTGACATAGTACCTGCATTATACAATATCTGACATTGTAATGTTTCAGTATCTGACATAGTATTTGCATTATACAATATCTGACATTGTAATGTTTCAGTATCTGACATAGTACTTGCATTATACAATCTCTGACATTGTAATGTTTCAGTTTCTGACATAGTATTTGCATTATACAATCTCTGACATTGTAATGTTTCAGTATCTGACATAGTATCTGCATTATACAATATCTGACATTGTAATGTTTCAGTATCTGACATAGTACCTGCATTATACAATATCTGACATTGTAATGTTTCAGTATCTGACATAGTACCTGCATTATACAATATCTGACATTGTAATGTTTCAGTATCTGACATAGTATTTGCATTATACAATATCTGACATTGTAATGTTTTAGTATCTGACATAGTACCTGCATTATACAATCTCTGACATTGTAATGTTTCAGTATCTGACATAGTACCTGCATTATACAATCTCTGACATTGTAATGTTTCAGTATCTGACATAGTACCTGCATTATACAATATCTGACACATTATCTGTATAGTACTTGCATTATACAATCTCTGACATTGTAATGTTTCAGTATCTGACATAGTACCTGCATTATACAATATCTGACATTGTAATGTTTCAGTATCTGACATAGTACTTGCATTATACAATCTCTGACATTGTAATGTTTCAGTATCTGACATAGTACCTGCATTATACAATCTCTGACATTGTAATGTTTTAGTATCTGACATAGTACCTGCATTATACAATATCTGACATTGTAATGTTTCAGTATCTGACATAGTACCTGCATTATACAATCTCTGACATTGTAATGTTTCAGTATCTGACATAGTACTTGCATTATACAATCTCTGACATTGTAATGTTTTAGTATCTGAGTATCTGACATAGTATTTGCATTATACAATATCTGACATTGTAATGTTTCAGTATCTGACATAGTATTTGCATTATACAATATCTGACATTGTAATGTTTCAGTATCTGACATAGTATTTGCATTATACAATCTCTGACATTGTAATGTTTCAGTATCTGACATAGTACTTGCATTATACAATCTCTGACATTGTAATGTTTTAGTATCTGACATAGTATTTGCATTATACAATCTCTGACATTGTAATGTTTTAGTATCTGACATAGTACTTGCATTATACAATATCTGACATTGTAATGTTTCAGTATCTGACATAGTACTTGCATTATACAATCTCTGACATTGTAATGTTACAGTCTCTGACATTGCAAATTATCTGAAATCCTATCCGTTGTCCCTCCCCCCTTCTGTTTCTGTCTTTCCTTCGACTGATTGAACACCAATTTTGTCATCAGCAATGCAAGATACACATGAACACTGTTAAGTGAATAAACAAGTTTATTTACACAATCACCAGTGTTTGAGCAGTCCGTACATGAAACTGCGGAATGCGATATAAGCGCACGGGAATGTAGAAATATTTAAGTTGAAAACGGTTCATCCCGCAAATAGCAGAATGCCAAAACTGAAACCGAAAACTGATGTAAGACAGATAGCTACCAGTAAATAATTTTAACATGATGTCTCAAGACTGATAGCTCAACAGTATTGTACCTGCCAGTAGGTCTCAACAATATTGTACTGCCAGTCTCAACAATATTGTACTGCCAGAAGGCGAAAGTCGCCAGAATCTGTTGAACGCAGTTCAATCTTATTGTATGATATTTTTCTATTTGTACTCCAGCAGCTCAAACAATATTGTACTTCACAATATTGTATACTGCACAAAGTCGCCAGTCCGCAGTTCAATCTTAACAAATATTTTTTCTATTTGCACTCGTCGCCATACTGTGCTGTCGCCATCTGTCCCGTCACAATGATGTTTGTATTCCCTGTCCCCAGCAACTCATCACATATGTACAGCACACTGTCCCGCTGCAAAGTCGCCATACTGTGCTGAGATCTGTCCCGTCACAATGATGTTTGTATTCATATGTACCACACTGTCCCCTTCAGCAACTCATCACATATGTACAGCACACACATGTCCCGCTGCAAAGTCGCCATACTGTATTGAGATCTGTCCCGTCACAATGATGTATGTATTCCTGTCCCCAGCAACTCATCACATATGTACAGCACACTGTCCCGCTGCAAAGTCGCCATACTGTATTGAGATCTGTCCCGTCACAATGATGTTTGTATTCCTGTCCCCAGCAACTCATCACATATGTACAGCACACTGTCCTGCTGCAAAGTCGCCATACTGTATTGAGATCTGTCCCGTCACAATGATGTTTGTATTCCCTGTCCCCAAGCAACTCATCACATATGTACAGCACACTCTCCCGCTGCAAAGTCGCCATACTGTATTGAGATCTGTCCCGTCACAATGATGTTTGTATTCCTGTCCCCAGCAACTCATCACATATGTACAGCACACTGTCCTGCTGCAAAGTCGCCATACTGTATTGAGATCTGTCCCGTCACAATGATGTTCCCGTATTCCCTGTATTCCCTGTCCCCAAAGCTCATCACTCATCACATATGTACAGCACACTGTCCTGCTGCAAAAGTCGCCATACTGTATTGAGATCTGTCCCGTCACAATGATGTTTGTATTCCCTGTCCCCCAGCAACTCATCACATATGTACAGCACACTGTCCCGCTGCAAAAGTCGCCATACTGTATTGAGATCTGTCCCGTCACAATGATGTTTGTATTCCCTGTCCCCAAGCAACTCATCACATATGTACAGCACACTGTCCCGCTGCAAAAGTCGCCATACTGTATTGAGATCTGTCCCGTCACAATGATGTTTGTATTCCCTGTCCCCAAGCAACTCATCACATATGTACAGCACACTGTCCCGCTGCAAAAGTCGCCATACTGTATTGAGATCTGTCCCGTCACAATGATGTTTGTATTCCCTGTCCCCAAGCAACTCATCACATATGTACAGCACACTCATCACATATGTCCTGTCACACCCTGTCCCCAGCAACTCATCACACTGTCCCGCTGCAAAAGTCGCCATACTGTATTGAGATCTGTCCCGTCACAATGATGTTTGTATTCCCTGTCCCCCAGCAACTCATCACATATGTACAGCACACTGTCCCGCTGCAAAAGTCGCCATAATGTGCTGAGATCTGTCCCGTCACAATGATGTTTGTATTCCCTGTCCCCCAGCAACTCATCACATATGTACAGCACACTGTCCCGCTGCAAAAGTCGCCATACTGTGCTGAGATCTGTCCCGTCACAATGATGTTTGTATTCCCTGTCCCCCAGCAACTCATCACATATGTACAGCACACTGTCCCGCTGCAAAAGTCGCCATACTGTGCTGAGATCTGTTCCGTCACAATGATGTTTGTATTCCCTGCCCCCAGCAACTCATCACATATGTACAGCACACTGTCCCGCTTCAAAAGTCGCCATACTGTATTGAGATCTGTCCCGACGTTAAAACTTAGAAATGTTATTTTTGTGTATTTCCACAGTCTCGCAGCAAAGTCGCCACAAACTTGATACTGTTCCTCGGTCGGGTACAAACGTGGTCCTTGCTGTCAGTCCTCAGTTATTCAATATCATAAGATGGAAGCAGTTTTGCCTTGTAAGACGTGAGGCCACGTAAGGCAGATAGTCACTTGTGCATTACTTTGAGGGAGATGTGTGTGCCAGCCGTAGTGCATGTGTTTTCCCTTGACACGCTGCGTCTCTTACCAAGGCAGGTCCTGATGAACGCCCGTCTGAACTTAGTTGATATGAGACTATACACAATGGGGTTAGTGCAACTGTTAAGATAGAACATAATCCTGGCAAAGCATAGCAGATTCCAGAACCCCTCAAAGCCCAGGGCTCTGACCTTGGCGGGACTGGCGAAGATCATCCACATGCCTACCGTCCTGAAGGGAAGATGGAAGAAGAAAAAGAGAAGGGTTATTATCACTAACATTATGACAACCCTCCTCCTCGCCTTGTTCTTACTGTGACATCTCTGTTCATCCAGCTTGTCACTGAACCGGAACTCCCGTACAAGCGCCCGGGCTATGATCAGATATAGAATACCCAGCACCACAAACGGCAGGGTGAAGAACACCACGCACAGACACACTATGTACCCTTTCTGCCAAGGTAAGACAATGGACTGTCTGCAAACCTTAATGGGAGTCCCGTCGTAGTAACTTGAGTCCCGGTACACTGAGATCCCGATGAAAGGCATGCTTGTCAACATGGAGATGAACCATATGAAAATCACAATGAAAAGTTTCATGGACTTGGAGTAGATCTTAGTGTCCCTGATGCGGAGGGGGTGGCAGATAGCCTGGAACCTCTCACTGGCGATCACCATCATTGTCAGCACTGAGGCATGAGCCGCACAGTTCTCTAACATTGGGACGAGAGTGCCTGAAAGACAGCATATCAGCTTCAGTTAAGAACAAGTTAATTACCAAACAACATATGATAAATATAAAGGAAATTAAATGAAACGACATGTGAATGGAATGTACTTTGAGTGTGTTTACTTCTTACCATGAGAAGCACCCGGTCAATTCTCTAGTATAGTCTTAACTAGTCAGCAGAGAGATGTGTACCTATGGTCACAGATATTTGATAGATGACATGCACGTGTTTGTTGCTTCGGACCTACACGTTAACATACAGTCTACCTGAACAACGGAGGCTTACTTGAAACAGATGTTGATGAGTATATTTCTTACGTGTCAGATACGCCGATGTCAAGCACTTATTTCTGTGTTTTGTGATAGGAACCAGAACAATTAGTAGCATACTGAATATCTAATTTCTTCGTCGTTGGGATTTCAAAACACGCGGAACTAAACGTTTATGTGACAAATAGTCAAGTACAACGTTCAATGTTTTTTCGATACCGGTCATCTTCATCTTCACTCAACGTTCATATGCACGAAATCTCACGTAGTATCAAATGAGTTAAACGATGACATAGCTGACGCCATCAAGGAATTTCCACCCAAATTTGGGGTAGGTGGGGTAGCCTCCACCAACTCGCGCTGACCCAGACTGATCGTCTGCTAGTCCACAGCCTGTACTGGCCCACGTCCACCAACTCGCGCTGACCCAGACTGATCGTCTGCTAGTTCACAGCCTGTACTGGCCCACGTCCACCAACTCGCGCTGACCCAGACTGATCGTCTGCTAGTCCACAGCCTGTACTGGCCCACGTCCACCAACTCGCGCTGACCCAGACTGATCGTCTGCTAGTTCACAGCCTGTACTGGCCCACGTCCACCAACTCGCGCTGACCCAGACTGATCATCTGCTAGTTCACAGCCTGTACTGGCCCACGTCCACCAACTCGCGCTGACCCAGACTGATCGTCTGCTAGTTCACAGCCTGTACTGGCCCACGTCCACCAACTCGCGCTGACCCAGACTGATCGTCTGCTAGTCCACAGCCTGTACATGCCCACGTCCACCAACTCGCGCTGACCCAGACTGATCGTCTGCTAGTTCACAGCCTGTACTGGCCCACGTCCACCAACTCGCGCTGACCCAGACTGATCGTCTGCTAGTCCACAGCCTGTACTGGCCCACGTCCACCAACTCCGCTGACCCAGACTGATCGTCTGCTAGTCCACAGCCTGTACTGGCCCACGTCCAACAACTCACAATGATCACACCTTTCCACGCTGACTGATTGCTGTCAGATGTATGCCTTAATGGGCTGTTTAAATTAATCACTTGCATTCTCACCACCTGTTGCCATATTCGAGGGTGTGTTTATTTACCTAATTGTGGCATTTTGTCAGAATTAGAAACACTTTATTTCATTGGCGATAAACGTTTAGGAGATGTAATTATAATGTGCACTGCTGTGTCCGTATGCTGTGTTTTTCTCCCATACCAAAAAGTTCTAGAAGAGTCAGCGTTGCGTTGCTGCCTAGTCGAGTTGTCGCTCTTACAAATGCAAGCAAATATGTCAAAACTAACCAAAGAGTCACAATGCGAAAGCGCGATATTTTCACTAGTTGCCATATTGTCGTTCTTTGTCAGTTTGTACCCTTCAATCATTCCATAAATAAATATGACCAATGGTTCTATTGATTACTGTTTGTATCCCAATTTTCAATATCGTCATCACTTGCCTGACATTTTGGTATAATGGAATCTGATGTAATGAGCCTCAACACACAATTCAGTTACAGCCACGCATTCGTTTAAATAAGTGAGATTGTATTTACAGTGGAGTGAATTGTAAAGCAGATATGTGAGATAGTTATCACAATGGGATAACCTTTAGGTAGATAAGGCATATTGTTTTAACAGTGGACTTAATTGTAAGGTGGATATTTGATATAGTTATTACTGTAGGGTGATTTTAGGTACATAAGGAAGATTGTAATTACAGTTGGGGGAACTGTACGGTAGATTGAGATAATGATTACAGTGGGGTGACTGGTAACATAGAAATGTGATATAGTAATTAAAACGGAGTGACTTGTAAGATAGACATGTAACATAGTAACTACAGTGGGTGCCCGTTTAGGTTGATGAGGGAAATAGTAATTACAGTGGCCTGAATTGTGTGGTAGATATGTCATATAGTACTTACAGTGGGGTGACGTTTAAGGTGGATAAGGGAGATAGTACTTACAGTGGGGTGACGTTTAAGGTAGATAAGGGAGATAGTACTTACAGTGGAGTGACGTTTAAGGTAGATAAGGGAGATAGTACTTACAGTGGGGTGACGTTTAAGGTAGATAAGGGAGATAGTACTTACAGTGGAGTGACGTTTAAGGTAGATAAGGGAGATAGTACTTACAGTGGGGTGACGTTTAAGGTAGATAAGGGAGATAGTACTTACAGTGGGGTGACGTTTTAGGTAGATAAGGGAGATAGTACTTACAGTTGGGTGACGTTTAAGGTAGATAAGGGAGATAGTACTTACAGTGGGGTGACGTTTAAAGGTAGATAGGGAGATAGTACTTACAGTGGGGTGACGTTTAAAGGTAGATAGGGAGATAGTACTTACAGTGGGTTGACGTTTAAGGTGTATAAGGGAGATAGTACTTACAGTGGGGTGACGTTTAAGGTAGATAAGGGAGATAGTACTTACAGTGGGGTGACGTTTAAGGTGGATAAGGGAGATAGTACTTACAGTGGAGTGACGTTTAAGGTAGGGGAGATAGACAGTGGGTACGTTTAAGGAGATAGTACTTACAGTGGGGTGACGTTTAAGGTAGATAAGGGAGATAGTACTTACAGTGGGGTGACGTTTAAGGTAGATAAGGGATATAGTACTTACAGTGGGGTGACGTTTAAGGTGGATAAGGGAGATAGTACTTACAGTGGGTGACGTTTAAGGTAGTATAAGGGAGATAGTACTTACAGTGGAGTGACGTTTAAGGTGGATCAGGGAAATAGTACTTACAGTGAGGTGACCTTTTAGGTTAGCGTAAATGAGGAAGATAGTAAATACAGTTGGATTAATCGTTAGGTAGATATGTGAGTGGTAAATAACAAGTAAAGTTGGGTGAGCTATAACTTAAAAGTACATTTTGAGATTGTAACAGTAGGGGACAATGTAGGTACAGGGAAGTTACAAGGGAGATAATGATTACAGACGTTGTTGGTTACAAGGTAGATAGATTCTAGTGGAATGGATAAGAATTAGGGCAGGTATTTTAGATAGTACTTGAGAAAAGGGCGTGTTGTCAGGCAGTTATGTGAGACAGTAATTAACACCGGACATCCTCACTGATTGATATCGAATCATAAACACATTCTAATGATGTAGTTGGAATCGATTCTGCTTTTGACATATTTCTTATGGAAGGGAGAAAGGTTAGAATGTTTCTATGTACTGTTTTTCAAATTGTAAGGTAGATATGGGAGATAGTAATATGTGTGTGTGTGTGTGCGTGTGCGTGTGAGTGTATGCGGCAGTGATTACTGTCGGTAGACATGTAAATAATTATAGTTGTGTCACTTGTAAGGTAGATATGGGAGATAGTAATATGTGTGTGTGCGTGTGCGTGTGCGTGTGCGTGTGAGTGTATGCGGCAGTGATTACTGTCGGTAGACATGTAAATAATTATAGTTGTGTCACTTGTAAGGTAGATATGAGAGATAGTAATATGTGTGTGCGTGTGCGTGTGCGTGTATGCTGCAGTGATTACTGTCGGTAGACATGTAAATAATTATAGTTGTGTCACTTGTAAGGTAGATATGGGAGATAGTAATATCTGTGTGTGTGCGTGTGCGTGTGCGTGTGAGTGTATGTGGCAGTGATTACTGTCGGTAGACATGTAAATAATTATAGCTGTGTCACTTGTAAGGTAGATATGAGAGATAGTAATATGTGTGTGTGTGCGTGTGTGCGTGTGTGCGTGTGAGTGTATGCGGCAGTGATTACTGTCGGTAGACATGTAAATAATTATAGCTGTGTCACTTGTAAGGTAGATATGGGAGATAGTAATATGTGTGTGTGTGTGCGTGTGCGTGTGTGACTGTGTGTCTGTGTCTGTGTGTGTATGTGTACGTGCGTGCGTTCTTGCACGCGACAGTTATTACTGACGGCTTAATAGTAAGGTGCCATGCCCACATTACTGAGTCCCTTCCTATTGGTCATGATGTGTTAAAATACCCTGCAAGTGGGGTTGGCAGTTTCCAAACGCAACTTCAGCTAGGTGTAAAGCCTAAACATGACATTGTGGGCGCAACTGAACCCTTTCTCATTTCATTATTAAACGTCTGCTATTAGCAATGCAAGACACTCGACGACGTCCTTCAGATTGTACACAGTTCTGCCACGTCATTATCTATGGTTGATTTCTCAGACTGAGAGTTAATGCTTTAGCTGAAGTTACTCTTTAGCGCTAGGAGTCCACCTTGACGATATTCGCAGCTTGATACGTCTGCCATGACATTAATTAATTGTTTGTGCAAGTTGAGTACCCTTTTACTCACACCAGTTTTGTCTGGCCTCCTGGACTTGACTGAATAAGCTTACCATCTATGCTACTGTCTTGAATTATTCATCTATCGTGGTGCCACATCGTTCTCTTATCGCACACGTCCATGCATGGACGACCGTATTGTCCAAGAATACATCCTACCTGCCATTTACCCGAACGCGATCATTTGGGGTACATCCAAGATTTTATATTGCGGACACTATTGTATGAACTAATTACACCTTACCAAGAACGTTACACGCTTTACCGAGAAATATATTAATAATGAACAAAGTGTCTGCCTGTAACTTCCGTGAATAGATCATTTTTTATCTATTTCCATGTTTGGGTTTGTTTTTTGTTTGTTTGCCTTTGTCTTTTTCTTGGGGGTGGGGTGGGGGCGTTCTTTATTGTTGGTTTGTTTTTGTTTTCTTTTGTTCTTTGTTTTGTTTTGTTGTTTTGTTGGGTTGGTTTTTTTTAGTTGTTGTGTGTTTTGTTTTGGTTTTGGGGGCGTTTTTGTTTTTTTGTTTTGTTTTGGGGTTTTTGGGGTGTTGGAGGGGGGTATTTTTGGCATCACTAAATGTCACTTTATGAACTGCCAATATCAGGAGAACTTCCCGGTAGTTTATAACGTAAAAGTCTATACTGATGTGTTTCATTAATGTTGATGTATATATACTTACACATTGTGGCCCCGAAATGCCATATATCCTTAGCGTATATATCCACGAGCGCTGTGGGCATACACACAGTGATCACCATCAAGTCCGCGACTGCCAAGTTCACCAGGAACAGATTGGTGGAAGTACGCATGTCCTGGCGCAGCCCAACAACGGCTGCAACCACGCTGTTTCCGATGGTGCCAGTGAGAAAAATGATGACGTAAAGAAGTGTGGACGTCACCAGTATGTATAACGGCATTTCAGGGATTGCCTTTGCCACCGATGATGTCGTGTTGTCAATGTATGCAGAGTTAGTGTGGACGTCGTTGTCTGTCAAGTTCCAGGATGATATGCTCGCGTTGTATCCCATGTCCACCTCGCTGCAAACCAAAGCCCTGTCTCCTGACATTGGCAGCGAGTATGAGGAATGTCTTATGGTAAGGTTAACATCCCTGAGATTCGTCATTAATCGTGTTGACAGGAAGTTCCTAACATCATCTTCATTTTATCTCTGCAAGAAAAAAAGTATCCTTGAATAAACGATTTCTCTCATATCAACTCCGACCAACATATCGAGCTAACAGAAATGAAAAAATGTTTGGAATGTTTCAGATATTGAAATGTAATTTAGAATTATACAGTGAGGATGATGCATAACATGTGTCTAGCAGGTTGTGAGGCCCATAAATAGGTGATATCCTGTCACGATCAAACGTCATCGTCTCGGTTATCTCCAGAAAGACACTCCATATGACGTGAAAGGCAATATCGTGATGGCGTTTCATGAAGGGATCACTGCAGGGAAAAGCATGTTCTGATACCGGCAGCATGCAGAGTATTCAATAAACAGTAAGTGAGAGTGAAGTGTGTAAGGAGGTGAGAACACTCCATGTGTGTGGAAGCTGTTGTGGCTGAGTGGGTTAGATGGTTGACTTTGTGTACTGGCGATTAGGTGTCTGACTCTTGAGAGTGTACAGAATGTACCGAGAAAGGATAACCCCGAATATAACATAAGTTACTCTCTGTGAAGGTCATAGCATGGGACGGCATCGCGCTTCATGATTCATGTTTGGCACATTCTTCTGAATACCAGAGTATCATTGTCCAGTGATTTAACCGGGTATTTTGAGGTGGAACCTGGCCTGAAACACACAGGCTGGACTCCATTGAACAGTTTCTATATTTGCTTGCTTACCATTGTATAATATAAAATACAACATGGCTAATTCAACCAATCAACGAGCATCCACTTTATGAAAGGCTTGTCATGCTACTGCAAAAGATATGTAGCTATACAGTTTAGTTTGACGATCACAGAAATGTCAGCGGATCCAACTGCAGACATATGCATATGTAAATAAATCAAACCAGGCAATATGAAATGTTATTTGTAAATTGATTGTTTGGCCAGTTCAATTTTCCACATTATTGCTTCTGACAGCACCATCGTAAAATATCTCAACAGACAACATGCACAGGTGTGAGCGGGTGCAGGTTGTTAAGTTGATAACGCGGTTCATCTAATTCAAAGACTTTTTTCTGAAGTGGGTGTTTCTTAAGTTAAACAGGAATTGCCGTTTTTGGAATTATTCATACATCCCGTTTACAGCCGTCACTGTATTCTATATTTCTTTGTTTTCAACAATCTAAGCATGACAATATGACATGTTCCATAGTTGGATGACGTTGCTCCATCACAGACGTCACGGGAATGCTACATGAAAGGAAATTACCTGTAACTGCCAGTATACAGTCTCGTTGTTGATAATATGTTGTATATAGCCTCCCCAAGATGAACACACTGCGGATTAACATCCGAGGATGAAGTGGATCCTCTACAAAGTCCATACAGATGTAAATGAACTTCATTAGGTTTTCCAGGTTAGAAATGGTTTCATCAACCAATGCTGCTCCTCAGAATTGAGGCTTGATGGATTGGCTGACCATGTTCACAATATCAATCGCCACCCAAAGTCTGATTGCCAAGAACTTTAGCACCAAACGATACATTTTTCCTCGTGCTGTAAGCTACATGTAATTTCAGACAAACCAGTAAGCGAGTAACGAATTCTCCTATTTTGCGTGTCTACTTGCGTGTTTCCGTGATCAATGAAGGTTCCTGTGCATCTCATTGTCACTTTGTTTGGCATCAGAAGATTACAAAATTCAACCTAAAGAAATACTTTTCTCTAAGGAGTTACATGGCGTAACTAGGCAACTCAAGGACATTACGCCTATTACAAGCCCGCGATTGAGTAGGTGTTTCAATAAACATTGTCACTGTGAAGTTATATTTACTGAAAACAAACAAATTGCCATTTCCTCACATCTTCAATACGCCTCTCTATCAAACAGTAACTAGCATGATTACACAATGTGGTCAAATGTAACATATGCTACATTTGGGATTACAGTTCCTCAGCAAAGTACAGATTGTGGTCCCATGCGAAATCCGAACCCACCCTCTCAGAGTCAGGCATGCAAAGTCAGCGGTCTAACCTACTCAGCTCTCGCCACAAAGATGGAAGCTGGATAACTTGTAGTCTAGACCAAGGATAACTTGCATATTCACCACTAACACGAAACTGTATGGGAACATAACACATGAGAAATAAAGAAAGCCATAACACTTCTTAGTGTGTTCTCACCGCCAGCAAGTAGCACGTATATACTCATTTATGCAGTCATGTACATGTAAGCAGTCATTTATGATTAAATCCGCAATGACACGCGTAGTTTCGCTGATTCTGAATAATCTTACTGTGATCTCAAGGTGGCATCTTTGTAGTTATGTGTGAGTGATGTTTTATGTGTGAGTGATGTTTTATGTGTGAGTGGTGTGAGTGATGTTTTATGTGTGAGTGATGTTTTATGTGTGAGTGATGTTTTATGTGTGAGATGTTTTATGTGTTTTATGTGTGTGAGTGATGTTTTATGTGTGAGTGGTGTGAGTGATGTTTTACGTGTGAGTGATGTTTTATGTGTGAGTGATGTTTTATGTGTGAGTGATGTTTTATGTCATCTCGAGGTGTAAACAGAGTAAAAACATTTAGCAGCAGCGCCCCCAAGCGTGCCGCTTGGGAATTAAGAGTAATTCTCTTCACATGACTGTTGTCAGGCTAACTGACGCAATGATTATATTCTCACTATCGTTCCACAAAATGTGGAGCATCCAACACAAAGTGTAACCAGCAGGTTTAGAAATAAGACCTCCGTGGTATACGTGAAGGCTTTGCTTGTTTTTGTTGTTTATCGCCGCACTCAGCAATATATATGGCGGTCGTCTGTAAATATTTGAATTCGGACCAGACAATTCAGTGATCATCAACATAAGCATCGATCTACGCAATTGGGATACAATGACATGTGTCAACCAAGTCAGCGAACCTGACCACCTGCACCCGATTCCGTTAGACGCCTCTTTCGATAAGCATCGTGGCTGAAGACCAATTCTAACCCGGATCTTCAGGGGTCATACATAAATGCCGGCAGAAGAAGCCTTCTTGTGAAATATGAGGAGGAGAGGTATAGACCACAAGGAAACTTCTATTCAACGGGTGTTCACGACGAGGAAGTGACAATAATTTGATAAATTATGATTGTATGATGTCGCTTACTCGTACCGCTGACCTTTATAAAGGTAGCAAGGAGGTACATGGTACATGTATGTTTCGTGTAACCTATGGATACAACATGGTACAAACAAATCTGTGATGAACATTAAAGGCTTTGCAATCGAAACCCGGTTGAGTCTTACAGCTAACGTAAACAGATGAATGCATCAGGTGACATAAGACGTATATCGTGTAGCAGAGAGTAATGGATTATATTACAGGTGTGTCACGGGAAACAGACAGCATTAAGGGACACGGAATGTATATTACGGAAAACAGACAGATGACAAATTGGATGAGCTTCGGAAATCAGACAATATGAAATGATATAGACGACCTGTTCTGGAAACATGTCTATCAGTGCCTCACATGACATGTAAGATGTGTTTAGGGAAGGGGAATATTAGGAAACATGACATGGAAGTTATGTAACGAGAAGATATGGTATTAAGGTAAGGACAGTTGCACCTTGGTCGATATAGAATCTCTGATGTAGTGTTCGCGGACATTTTTAAGAATATTCCTCAATTACTTGCTCTGTATCTGTTTCCATTAGCCCGCAGCGTTGACAACAAGATCGGATTTGACAACTGAGAAGTGTTGGAGTCGTCAGTCTGAAGAACACATTTTACCGGGAAGTAGAGGACATTGATGTGGCAACATTATTGATCATAATCATCTTGAGCAGATTCATTTTTGCTCCAGTCAGTGCTTGCAAAGAAACTACTGCAGGGACCATCCCGTCAGCGCCCTTGCTCACGTGGATATCCAACTTGAGCCTTTGTCAAGTGATTGAAGTATCTCGATTGCCATGGTTTGTTGTTTTCTGAGGATGTGGAGTCACTTGGCCCTCCATCGTCCCGCTGATGTAACACTCGATATGAAAGCACCTCAAGAGAAGCTTTGTAATTGGCGTGTTTCTCTTTTACAAACCTGTTAGAACAGTTTTCAATTTGCAAAATGTCCCCCGTTCAAGCATGGAATGTGTTGCCATGACTTCAGAAAGAATACATTTACAACCTGTTTGCTGTAGTTATCAATCATATATATTTTGATTGACACATGACGGGTTTGTTGCCCTCCCTGTAGGTTACTATGTGTATTATTGTACCAGGTCGTCAATCCAGATTATAGAAATATAAGCATGTTTTTCAGAATGCACACATGCGACTCACAGTCCAGTAGCCTAGCGGCATTGCCGCTTCCGAAAGCTGACAATATATATCGTTAACATGATTGAGGATTGTTTGTTATGTGGCAGTGTTATGCATTGTGTATCAATGTTTTAGTGTAATACAGTGTACAGGTAGATTCAGTAGGTAACAGTAGTGTGATATATTTAAACGTGTACTAGATTTAAACGGATCTGGAAACGTTTGCAATGTGCTGGTTCCAGGTCTACTGCCTCAGCGAGTATTGTAGAAGTTTCTACACTTTTCCTTGTGTAGATAAGGGGACCTGGCTATTCTCTCTCATTTCACATCAAAAATATTGCATTGACGACCAGCATTGTGTGTGATGACCATTGTACCCTACTTCGGCCTATTTGGGATTACCGTTGCTGAGAGTCGGTATTACTATTTCCGCTCCTATATTATATTGTCCTTGAATTTGTACTGCCGTTCTATGTTGTACTGCCATAATGATACCTGCGGATTGATTAGTGTCATTGAATTACACTTGTTAATTACATCATATTTCTGTGTTGTGTTTTGGTGTCACACCTAACTTGTTTACGGACTTATTCCCTATAGTTTCAACTTGGGAATCAACACGTAACGAGTTTTAGGCAACTCTTATCAATGTCACGACACTAAAAATGGCTTCAAACGGTCCACCTATGTCAAAAAACGAAGCTGGGCCCACGGTGTGGTGAGAGAACTACTCCACCGCAACA